TCCTTCCTTCCTTCCTTCCTTCCTTCCTTCGGTATGCACTATATTATGTGAAGCATGAAAATGTTACTAACCACTGCTTTAATCCCCAAAATATTTCCAAAATGTTTGTTCTAGACCGTGTATGCTGGTCTCAGGCAGCCTGAGATAGTCAAAGGAGTTGACTATCAAAACTAGTTTGCCCACTTACTGCTTTCCCATACTCCCACCAAGCCAGCTTAAGTTTGGTGCTGCTTTTTAAATGGTGATGTCAGATTTAGAACATTACTATTACTGATGTTGTGAATGTACGCTAGATTTTTCAAAGACAGAACAGCTCCCAAGACAACTCTGCCTGTACAAAGGCATTATGACCAGGGATTCCTTCTGACCAGAACTTTTACATGGTTGCTGTAACCAGGATCTCTCAGTTTTGAACAACCTTGATGCAGGAGCTGTGTTAGTGGGTGGTTCCTTCCACCAATAAATGGACTAACAGAATGAAAGTACTAAGTAACATGAAAAGCTGGCACTCAGTTGTTCGCAAGAAAAAGGGCAGAACTGGAAGTGCACAATAATCTAACTAACATAGCATGGCATCTTATTTATCATAGACTCACAAGACAAAGAGTAATTAGTGCAGGTTAGCTTCCCCAAGCCTGCTGCCTTCCAGATACGTTGGACAAACTTTCTTATCCAGTATGTTCTTTGGCTATCAGGAGAATGTAAGCAGTTTAAGTCTGACACACCTGGAGAACAGTAGCTTGGGAAAGACCACTGTAAGCATCCTAAACTTTGTGCACAATAAATGAGGCAAAGGTTCACAATGGTTATACATTGACTTTTCAATATTCCTTCACAGTCTGAGTTTGAACTCAAAGTCTTTCATATTCGAGGAGAACATGCTTTATCAGTAACAAAGCTTGAGGAAGACATTCTGTATTTAAAAAATGAACTGGAAAATAAGTTATACAAGCAAAACGAAGAAGCAAAGGATGCCTGTGTATCCACTGAAGATGACAACCCACCAAAGTCATATAGAAATGTATGCATCCAGACAGATAGAGAAACCTTTATAAAGCCAAATGGAGATGAAACCCGGACACCCAAAAATAATCAAATAATTCCTAAGAAACTTTCTATACCTTATTTGAATAATAGTGTTTTGGCTTCAGCTGATCGGAAGGAAATATGCAGTTCTGGCCAGACTTCAGGGAATGTTTTTTCAAAGTTGGATCAAACATTGGCACCTCCTCCTCCACCACCTCCTCTTCCTCTCTCACTATCTGATTCAATCCCACCACCACCACCGTTGCTGCCAAGCTGGAGATCTGCCCATCCACCACCTCCACCACCACCACCACCACTTCCTGCAGCTTTTGGGGTTCATCAGCCATCTCTGCCTCCCCCACCAGGGCCACCTCCAACAGGAACGGGACCTCCTCCACCACCACCGCCACTGCCACTTGGCTCTAATATTTCTTCAATAAGTCAAGGTCCTCGAAAACCTGCAGTTGAACCCTCTTGTCCCATGAAGCCACTCTACTGGAACAGAATCCAAATAGCAGATAGCAGGTATAGTTATGTCTTCTTGTTTATACATAGAATATGGCATGGGGATATTGCATATCCATATACATGCGTAGGTGTATACGGGCGTGCAATTAACTAAACAAGTTACTTTAAGAGAAGTTTGAAATGCAAAGTAATTTGTTTAGGCTGCTTCATTATTATGAAATATTGTCCCCCATTAAGTCCTATGTTGTTTCATAGCATTCTTGTTCAGATCTGCACTTGGGGCTTATACAAAAATCTCATTTGACATGAAGTATTCCTAGTATGACTTGTGATATGTTTGCCTGTGAGGGCCCCAGACAAAAGGGGGAGGGTTGGGACATTGGTATTCTTGCAGCTTGCAGTAATATTGCTCAGAATTTTTTACTTCTTTGCTGCTCTGTTAAATGCATGTTAACTATTGAAAAGAGCAAAGCATTAATAGCAATGGAAAGATTATACACTGTAGCCAACTTTTCTGTGAAATCTGACACCTTTGGAATGGCAATTAACATCCCTAAAAGTAAATTGCTGAACCATGTCTTCCTTATCTGCCCTTGGTTCTCACTCCTACACTTTCTTTCTTCTTTCTTAAAATTTAAAAAAATACTTTGGATATGGTGGAATGATAAAACTCTTTCCCATTTCCCTGCTAATTAGTCTTAGTTGCAATATCACAGAGTTGCAATATCCATGCCATATAGCACCAGCCTGTGTATGACTGCTTGGAAGTAAATACTGTTGAGTGTGTAGAAACCTTCCCATTCTGTAGGTATATATATGATTGCAAGTTTAATTATTTGGCAACTCACTTTATTGTCATAGAAATATGTTTGTCAGTAATATCTCATCAGTCCATTTGCCACATTGGGTTTCCCTTTGCCTTTCCTTCTTTTTCTTTCTCTTCTTCTCATACTCTTTAATTCATACAATGAAAAAACTCTGGATTATGAATCCTCAGAGATCAGATAAGTAACAAGGTACAGATAAATGATTCTGAGGCAGTTCATTTGTTATTCGTGGATAGTTTTGTGCCAAGTAAAGAGACAGTTGTCTTTATGAATTTCAACTCTTGTCTATTAAAGAAAAACCCTTTTCCTAAGATACCCCTAACAAAATTAAAAGCTCGTATATTTAATGGATTCTTTCCTAGATTTTTCCATAGCTTCCATGCTCAAAATGAATTACCTTTTTTCTTTCTACCTTCCGTTAAGTCAGGCTTTCATTTTTAATATGAAACTTTTAAAAGTTTCTTACGTTGATGGTCAGTCATCAGTTTTCATCATATATCATCATATATCAGTTTTCATCTACCATATAGTGCTGGTAGATGTAGTTTGTATTTACAGTTTGAATTTACTCTTTACAAATACAGTTTGTATTTGCTCTTGAAAGCTTTCTTCAGTCTAAGAATTCTTACATCAGAAGAAAGGAATAATTTTTGATGTCTTTAAGACTTGCCTTTCTGATTATAGCTGAAGAGCTTTCTCTGTCATGTTTCTCTTTGCTGGAATGATAAACACTGTACCTCAGCAAATTTTAGCTCAGTTCTGTACATAAAATCTTGGTCTGATTAATCAGCATGTGTCCATGGGTTCCCTCCTAATTTCTTCTCTTCCCTCTTTCCTTTACATATCCTGCCCTCCTCGGACACTCCTAGGACCTTACTCCTAGGACACTTCTGCTAAACCACAGTTTCCCATTACATTCATATTGGAAATTGGTGTTTAATTGCCACTTACAAACCAAATTATGAAACCTAGATCAGTAATTATGTCTGAATCAGATTTTTTGTCCTTGAATAATGAGGGAGAGAGAAATAAAATGTATTTTTCCAACTAAGTTGTATCTGATTGTTAAGAAACTTAAAAATTCCATCCATGAGTCATCAGTGCAGCCCCAACAGATCAAAACATCAGTCTGTGTTGAACTGAATAACAATTTTAACCATAACATTTAGAATGTTTTCATCACCCACATTTTATTCTAAGGTTTGCTATATTGCAGAACAAACTCTGACATTCTCATATATTGTTTATTGTGGATTTCTTAATTTGATAGAATGTCTTTCAATAGCTTGACCATATCATGCGTGAAAGAAGACTGGAAACTATATTACATGAAAGGTACTGTATAAGTAGAATGTTGTATGAGTGACACCTGCTGGAGGAAAAATGTCAGTTGCTACCACCAAGGAAGAGACACTTTTTTCTTCAAAGAAAAGCAGTCTGCCTTTAATAAGTGCTGTGGTACACATTTATTCCTGAAAATATTAAATAAAGGCTGTTTTAAGTTATAGATTTCAGCAGTCAGCAATAGTTTTTGTGAATCAAATATTACAAAAGGAATGTGGACAATACTAGAGTATTCAGTGAAATAGTACTTGCCTTCTGCTGATAAGGCCTTCTTCATTTTGTCTGCATTCATAGACAGCAGTACTGAGCTATCTTGGGGATTTAGAGGATGCAAATATTGGATGGTTTCAAACATTGTAATAGGTTGCTAAATCATGCTTTGGTTTAATCACAATTGGTTGAACAAGACATAGTGGTCTGGTACAAATTATACTGCTTCAGTGCATGTATCACACCAAGCTTAGCATGATATGTGAACCCAGCTATAATAATAAAACATTTTGAAGAGTTGCATTTCTACTCAAAGATTTCCTAAAAGGAAAAGTAGCACACAGAGGAGACAGAGGAGTAGATGCAGGTAGGTGTAGGTGCCAAAAGAATAATAACCTTTATTTATAAGCATAGTGCATTTGAGTGGGCTATAGAATAAACATCAACTGGAGTCAACTGAGCAGAAAAAACAAAGCCTCGGTCTGTTTTTCATTACTCATACGTGTTTAACTGCAGCATTGTACACCATTTTCATACAAATGTGTCCCCAAAATCACCAATATTCCTTAAAGACTATCCTTTGCAAAAACAAGAAATGCTTATACTTCTCTATCCAAAATATTTGCAGGTTCAGTTGCAAGAAGAAGAAGAGGGATAATTATGTGCATTTCATCAAATTTTGCAAAGTAATAAAAAGTTAGAGGTGAACCTTTTAAATAGAACATGAAACAGTACTGTTGTCTTAAATTTGCCATCTTCTACTCAGCAAGGGTTCCTATGCCTGAATATTGCATATGGATGGATGGATGGATGGATGGACGGACGGACATACACATACATTATAGCCAATTGTTAATTTTCCAATATAAATTACTGAGAAGATATGCAAAGCCTTGGGTTTTTCTGAAATGAAGCTCTGTTTCACATTTTAGATATGGTTTCTGAATAAAATCTTGCTTTCACAGTCCACCAGCCAAAAAAGAAAATCTTGTTGCTGAGAAAATACTTTCAAAAGATATTTGTTATCTATACAAATGAGATAACTGCTGGGCATTATGCAGTTCTCAGTATGGAACATTTCTTTCAAAAGTGATCTAATCCAACTGCATAACATAAATCTGTAATTTTAAAGAGACAATTTATAAATGTTTCTTTTTTTTTCTTTTTCCTATTTTAGCCAAAAATCAATGCCAACTCTTTGGGAGTCATTAGAAGAACCCAACCTTTGTGATACAAATGAATTTGAATACTTATTCTCAAAAGAAACAGCTCAGGCAAAGAAAAAGGCACTAGCAGAGTCTTATGAAAAGAAAACAAAAGCCAAAAAGGTATTTTTACTTTCCAACTACTGTATTAACAAAAAAAACCCTCTATTTTTATTGAGCGTTTTAAAATTATTTTCATTTTAGAATACTACAACAGTATTTAAATCAAAAAAAGTCTATGGGCGAGGGTTATAAACATTGGACCAAAGTAATCTGTTTCTGATTTGCCAAGAATTTTTATGAAGGCCAGCACCTGGGATTAATTTTTTTCAAACTTGTTTCAGGCTGCTAATTAGCCCTTTAAAAATAGTACTAAGAGCACCTCCATCAAAAAAAAGAACATAACTGTTAGTACCACACCCTTTCATTTTACATAATTGTAACCTAAGATTAAATCTTCGTCAGTGCACATGCCATGCTATTTTGGCATTGCCCCCAACTAAAATATGACCCAGCTTTTACTTTTAATACAAATCAAGCAACAGGAATTTGGAGTAATTTTAAAAATCCACGGTCTTTCATATTTTAGTCTTTTGTGGATACCAAATGTGGAATTTTTCACTTTGAAAGGAAACAGCATTAGATAGAATGATTCTGTATTTTGCACAGAAATCTTATTATTGCAATATATTGGTATTATGCTACCTTTCCTACAGTAAAAACTGGGTTCACACATATGGTTTACTTAACTGTAAAATGGGATATATTCAGACAATTCACTAAGCCATAAACTACAGTGGGACCAGCCACATGTATGGTTTTTGATATTAATCTATAAGGCCCTAAACAACTTGTGATCAGAATACATGATTGAATGCCTTTTCACACATAGATCTGTGGATATTCCTTGGTTAAAGGTGGCCTTTCAGTTCTGAAGCCATTCTGTGAACTACCCTCCCTCTGAAACAAATCATGTACCTGTCTTATTTCAACTGAGGTGCATTCTGAAAACATTTTTATTTGCCTTATCATCTCAGAATGATCCTGTTTCCCTGCCCATGGCCACTTGTTTATGTATTTTTAATTTGTACTAAATTGTTTGATATGTGATGGTGATGGTGATGATGAAGATAACGTGAAGTCATGCAACTGAAAAGCATGTAGCTATAAATACATCATGTATTAGGGAGCTACAGACAGTCAAGATGTATTAGATTTTTTATTTTTTTATTATTTTATTTTATGTTTTGGTGCCTCTGAGTCAGTCTTGACCCCTGGCAACTGCCTGGACTAGTCCCTGCAGTTTTCTTGGCATGATTTCGGAACTGGTTTGCCATTGCCTCCTTCCTAGGGCTGAGAGAGAGTGACTGGCCCAAGGTCACCCAGCTGGCTTTGTGCCTAAGGCAGGACTAGAACTCATGGTCTCCTGGTTTCTAGCCTGATGCCTTAACCACTACACCAAACTCCCTCTCTAGATGTATTCTAGTGGTGTCTTAAGAAAGCATATCTGTTATTCACCTTCTGCTGTGAGTATACATGTGGTCAGTATGATTATTACCTGAAATGTGGAGTGAAAATTGTCAAAGACATAGTTTAGATAATATTATTTGAAATTTAAATAACTCAGTATTACTGAGGTTTATTATTCGCCATATGCCAGTTTCTAACATTACCAAACTGAGGCAATTATATTTTCCTTGTACAAAGAAAAGGGATAAATGTCAAGCAATTTGTGTTATCTGCATGATCTAAATAAGGCTCCATCCATCATTTTTGGCTTTTTAGCGCAACGATTATCACATCAACGACAGAAGATAATGGGTTTTCTGTCTCTAACTGGCTTCATATAATTAGTAACACATGTTCTCATTTACAATGAGTGTCAATGTTTTGAGTGAGGAACATTTTTATATTTAAAAAAAGTATATCTGTCATCAGATCTGTTGCTTAGTTCATAATTATGAAAGAATATAAACTACTATTCTGTGGTGTTTGTAAATATGGTTTAAGAATTCTGCTTCAGCGTTTTATAGCATCCTCTAGCCATCATTACCAGAACTTGACCAGTGTATCCCTTTTGTGAGTTTCAGTAGCTTTTAAAGTTTCGGATTATTGCCAGATGTCACAGAATTTTTAAAACAGTATTTATTTATTCAAGCATTTTCTAAACTCCCTGTTCCTTAATATATTCTTAAAAGGTATTATCTATGTGCAATTTGTTACAGGTCAATTCTTGCATTCTGTACACTTGCAACAAGTTTGTTTTCAGATGAGAAGGGATCTTGAGATATAGACTATGTGCCTTTAATACTCTTATATCCCTGCTAACTGCATTATGCAGTTGTAGCCCAGATAAATCATTCTTCTCCCTGCTAACAACCTCTGTTATGAAGTTCTTTTTAGTTGTTGATTTGTTTGCACATCAATACCCAACTGTGTTAGCATTGCAAGAATTCTTTATTTTGGTTCTAACAGGCTACTCGTTCTGAGCTTCTTTTGACAAATAGCCATAAAATAAAGATACCTGGATTGTTTTTCCCTTTGATTCCACTCTGTTTCAGATGGTATAAACTACTACAATAGATAGTTTATAATTCTGACCATATGCATTTCTTCCCTTAAAGGGCTATAAATACAACACATTTTGTTCTGAAATCAACCTCTATTATTTCAAAATTATGTTAACAGTAATGGTTATTTGCAGTTTAAAATAGGATATATGGGGAAAGGCTCTGTGAGCTCATTCTGATCACACCTTTGGAGCATACCTACAATTTGGAGAGGCATCACAGTGGAGGTACATTCGGGAAAGATATTACTTCAAAGTAGGCGTGCCTAATGAGGTTTATGACAGCCTATGAATTTTCCTTTAAAAAGGTCAGTCTAGAGGTCAGTAAGTGCTATACAAATTGCACTCTACTTTAGGCTATAATTACCTCAATTAGATGTTAATTTGTTGTCAAGTTCATTGAATAACATGTATAACTTCAGAAATGTGTATGACAGAACTTTCCATTTAAAAATATTTCCTCCATGGCAGCTTTTCTTAATAAGAAAACAGACAATCCATAAATTATTCTCAGTTATTCATTTATTCTCAGAGTACTGTATTTTTACTGCAAATGTTAAAAATAAAACTATGTTTCAGCCAAACTTAGGCAGATCCAAATTCTACTAATTTCAGTGAAATGACTGAGTACATGGTTTAATGGTCTACCAGTGGCAGTTAAAAGTCCTTTGATTTCTCTAGGTAACAAGCATAAATAGGTGGCATTATTAAAATATCTTGAAAATCATTCATGTTAGATTAGGATTGTATCTCTCCTAAATGGTGCAGAATTAATTTCACATAAAATTTTTTTTAAAATTATTGGCTATGTTATTCTTTAAAAAAAAATCTTGAAAAGAGGAATCAAAAGAAGTTGTGGTAATTGGCATTTAATTACCAATTAATATAGAAAGCTATGAATATAATGTTCATTTTTATATTACTCAGACATGATCATGTATTTTTATTTCCAGATTATCAAATTGTTGGATGGGAAGAGATCTCAGACTGTAGGAATTTTGATATCTAGTTTACATCTGGAGTTGAAGGACATAGAACAAGGTAAGTGTTGCTTTTATCTCAATGAGAATGGTATGCATGAACATTTTTTTTTGAGTTTATCTCCCTTTAATAATTTGATTCAGTATATGCATGTATAAATGTTGTATCACACATTACATCTCTGTTGAACTTTTATTTCATTTTTTCAGTTATTAATAGCTGTTCTATATGTACCTTCTCACTTCCATAAAAAGATCCCCGCTGGTCTACACCAAGAGCACATCTTGTCTAGCATCCTTTCTTCCAGTGACTAGCCAATACGCTTTGAAGAAACTGAGATCATAAGAATTATTATCTTCTGCCACTGTTTTTCCCATATAAATGCAACTGAGATTCAGAAATTCTTGGTTCTACTTGGAGATGTCTCCAGGGATTGAAACTAGATCTTTTCTGTACAGAGTTTGTGTTTTAACATGTATTCTGCTCTCAAAACGCTCTGGCTTAGTGATAAGAAAAATAAATAAATGTTTAGTACCTGAAGGTATTATGTGAAACTAACCTTTAGGGATAACTAAAGTTTGCTCTGGAAGCCTAACACATCTGCCAGGGTCCATGAAAAACCTAAAAGGAAAAGGAGTTCTTAAAGTTAGTGTATGTTTTCTGTTCTGAGATTTTCTATCCTAGCCATCTATAAGCCAGTAACTGACATATTCCACAATTTTTATATAGTGGAGCTATGGCAGTATATGTTGCTCCATACATCTGGCAGACAGATGTTTAAGTTTGTATTTGATTACCAGCCAACAAATTGAAGACTGCCACATTTGTGAAAAAAATCAACCACAGATGTTTCTTAGGAGAGAGTGGCATTTGCTGTTAATAGAAAAAGGTAGATCAGTGCTATCTGTCGTGTCTAATAGGAAATATTAAAAAAGGAAAGTATCCAGTAATTTTATAGTTTGATTTGACCTCTGCATCATAGAAAAATAAAAATAGTTCTAGGCCAAGTTAACATAGAGGTTATGTCTCATAAAGTGAAATAGGTAATTTAAGTTAACATATCATACCTCTGTAGCTGGTTCATTCCCAGAACACTGTCTTCTCAGCACCCCTGTTAACTAGAAACAAAGTGATTCTCCTTTACTATTATTTCCCTGTTGACAAGAAATCACCTTGTAATTCTTCTTGTTTCAAAGTAACTTACATTTATATGAAATTTTAGAAAGCTGTTTAACAATATTTGGACATTTTTAAGAAGTGTTCATTCCAAGAGATTTGCCAGAATCCTTTTATTGTTACTCCTGTTCTGGATCAGCAGAGATTAAGTTATGGGGATTTCCCCCCGCTCTTCCACAATATAAACTTTAACAGATTTGTTACTCATTTCTGAACAGTTGAGGTACATTGATGAAGAATCACTTGCTGGCTGGGGAATTCTGGGAGCCAAAGTCCACACCTTGAAGTTGCCAAGTTTCAAAAACACTGCTCTAGAGATATTAAATGAGCTGAGCCCAGGCTTTTATTGGGCAGTTACTCTGCCACTAGTGAGGCATTTTACAAAAGGATCTTCCACTAATATCTTCCCATCACTTATGCCAATGTTGTCCAAACTTGGCCACTTTAAGATGAGTGAACTTCAACTCCCAGAATTCCCTAGCCAGCCATGCTGGCTGGGGAATTCTGGGAGTTGA